CATTTTGAATAATATTGCATGAGTTCCTTGTTTTTCAATGCAGCATAGTATTCCATTGTGTGACTATACCACAGCCTCTCTATCCATTCGTTTGTTGATGGTCAAAGACCATCTTGAGAAGACAAAAGTAAAGTGTTAAAATGAAATGTACGAAGAGTTAGTTAGAAAACTAAAAGAGAAGAAAACACTTGGCATTTATCAGAACTGAAGAACAAATCAAGACTTGTATTGTAAAACTGAAGGATTCTATGGACAAAATCTTGAATACAGGAAACATCAAAAGAAGATGAATACAGAGTAACCGTACCAAAAGGAATTGATCAACACTGAACCGTTACAGGAAGTAGCATATGATCAAAGTCAACAGTTCTGAAGGAAGAAATCCAAGTTGCACTGAAGGCATTGGCAAATAGTAAGGCCCCAGAAATTGATGGAATACTAAATTGAGTTGTTTAAGGAAAAAATGCAAACTTGGATGTGCCTTCCAGTCTTTGCCAACAAATAGGAAGAAAGTTCCCTGACCAACTGATGAGAAGAGATCCAGATTTGTCCCCCTTCCCCAAAAAGGTAATGCAGCAGACTGTAGACATGATCAAACAATGTATGACAGTAATCTGGAACAAGGGTTGCATTCAGGGTGAATTGAGGAGGGAGTCAGGAGGAAGGGAAGAAAATGTTAAACAGTGGAAAAAATATTATAAAAAAAATTAAAACAAGCAAAAAGTAATATAAAGTACAAAGATGGGAGAAAGACATCAAACAATATCTGTAATCTCACGTGCAGTTCTATTTATTATTATACTGGCTTATTTGCACAGATTTAATACATTCTTTTTCACATAGGAACTTTCCCATTTCCTTCACCACCCCCTCCCAGCCCATCAAATTGTACAACCCTGTGATTAACACACACACACACACACACTTGCCACCCATCCTCACCCTCTGCTCCCACCCTACCCTCCCCTTCTTGGATCCTCATATGCATTCTGCAATGATGGTTTTGTACAGTATTTGTCCTTATGGGGGCAGAGTTAGTTCACTCAGCATAATGTTCTTCCCAGGATAGGTAGTAATTTACAAAATCATTGCTCCTGGATCGTGTAATATTCCATTGTGTGAATGTGTCATAATTTCTCAATCCATTTGTTTGTGGTTGGACAATCTGGGCTGTTTACGTGTTCTTATGATGGTGAATAAATGCTGCTGTGAACATTGGTGTGCAAGTGTCCATTTGTACCTCAGTTTTCATTTTCTCAGGGTATATTCCAAGCAGTGAAATAGCTGGGTCATAGGGAATTTCTATATTCAACTTTTTGAGGAAGTACTAAATTGCCTTCCAGAATGGTTGTACCATTTTACGATCCCACCAACAGTGTATTAAGAGTTCCTGTCTTGCCACATCCTCTCCAGCATATTACTTGCTTCCCTGTTAAGCTTTGCCACTGTTACTGGAGTAAGATGGTATCTCATAGTGGCTTTGATCTGCATCTCTCTTTCGTGCCAGTGATTTGGAGCATTTCTTCATGTTTCTGTTGGCCATTTGAATATCTTCCTCTGTTAAAGTTCTTTCCATGGTTTTTGCCCATTTTGTAACTGAGTTATTGGTCTTTTTCTTGTGGAGGCCCAGGAATATTCTATAAACTTTCATTATGAGACTCTTGTCTGAACTGTTATTGCCAAGTCTTTGTTCCCAGTCAGTAGGTTTTCTTTTCACCCTCTTGGGAAAAGTTTCGATGCACACATGAACTTAATCTTTAGAAGGTCCCATTCATCAATTTTTATCCTCTTCCAATTGTGCATTTCTGGCTTTATTTGGCAGTCTCTTTATACTATAGACTTTCTAAGCTTGATCCCCGTTTGTCTCTTATGAACTCTTATGGATTTGGGCTTTACTCCCAGGTTTCTCATTTACCTTGAGGTGATTTTTGTGTATGATGTAAGATGTAGATCCTGTTTCAACCTTCTGCAGGTCCAGTTTTGCCCCCATCATTTGTTGAAGAGGTTGTCATTTCCTCATGTAATAGGTTTTGTTTCCTTGTCGAATATCAGTTCACCATAGAGAGCCAGATCTATTTCAAGATTCTCAATTCTGTTCCATTGATCTGTGTGCCTGTCATTATACCAGTACCATGCTGTTTTGGTTACTGCCACTGTATAGCAAGTTTTGAGGTCAGGGAGTGCTATGCCTCGCACTTCATTTTTGTTTCTCAGAAGTGTTTTTCTTATCCAGAGTTTCTTGCCTCTCCAAGTAAACTTGACAGTTTCCTTTTCAATCTCCATGGAACATGTAGATTGCTTTCAGTAAGATTGTCATTTTCACAATATTGTATCTTCCTATCCATGAATAGGGCACATTTTTCCATTTTGTTAGTTCTTTTATTGTGTCTTGTAGAAATGTTCTGTAGTTTTATTTGTACAGGTCTTTAATATCTCGAGTTAGATTCACTCCCAAGTATCTTAATTTTGATCAACTATTGTAAATGGTAATGCTTTCTTGGTTTCCTTCTCTGAGTTATTACTGTAAAGTAATCCCACTGATTTTATTTCCTTCTCTTGTCATATTGCCTTCGCAAGCACTTTCAATACAATATTGAATAGAAGTGGTGACAGTGGACGTCTTTGTCTGGTCCCTGTTCCCAAGGAAAATGCTTTTAGTCTTTTTCCGTTGAGAATGGTGTTGGCTCTTGGTTTTGCTTTTCACTATGTTGATGAAATTTCCTTCTATCAAAGCAATTAAATTCTTACTGAAGATTAAAATGACTAGTACATCAGCAGGGAAATGCCAGAATTTCAAGCTAGATTCTCAAGTGGCATGAAAATTCTTTGCTAAGTCAGATGGGCCTTGACTGAAAGCACATTTTAGCAGAAAGATGTTTACTTGTGTTTAATTGAGTCTGGATCAAATAAAATTATGGATAGCCTTGAGAATGGGAATTCCAAAACACTTAATTGTGCTTATGTTAAACATATACATTAAAAAAAAAAAACAAAACACATATAGACCAAGAAGCAGTTGTCTGAACAGAACAAAGGACTACTACATTGTTTAAAATTGGAAAAGGTATGTGTCAGGATTGTATCCTTTCTCCATATATAATCACTCTGTATGCTGAGCAAATACTGTAAGAAACTGGACTTTATGAAGAAAAATGTGGCATCAGGATTTGAGGAAAACTAATCAAAAACTTGTGTGACAAAAAAAAACAAACTTGTGTGACTCATATGACAAAACTTACTTGAAGTAAGTGAAGGCTTGAAGCACTTGCTGCAGAGAATCAAAGATTACAGCATTCAATGTGAGTTACTTAAAATCAAGAAAACAGATAATAGGCAATGTTATGATAGATGGAGAAAAGATTGATGTTGTCAGATATTTCATTTTACTTGGATCCACAATCAACACCCATGTTAACAGCAGCTAAGATATCAAAAGTCATTTTTGCTTTGGAAAAATCTGCTGTAAAGGACCCATCAAAAGGGCTAAAGAGCAAGGATGTTATTGTCAAGACCAGGGTGTGTCTGACCCAAGCCAATGTATTTTCATTTGTTTCCTGTCCGTCTCAAAGTTAGACAGTAAATAAGGAAGGCTGAAGAAGAATCTGTGCCTTTGCATTGTTGGGGGAATGTATTGAACATCAAAAGAACAAAAACAAGTATGTCTTAAAGGAAGTCCAGCCAGCCTGCTCTTCAGAGGCAGGGATGGTTAAACCTGTCTCATTTACTTTGGGCTTATTTTCAGGAAGAATAAGTCTTTGGAGAGACATCATACTGGGAAAGGGAGAGAGGGTCAATGAAAGAGAGGAGACACCTCCAGAAGCTGAACTGACTCCGTGATTACAACAATGGCCTCAAGTACAGTAGAGATCATGAGGATGATGCAGCATAGGACAAGACTCAGGTCTGATGTGCATGGTGTCGATCCTGTGACACTTAACAACCACAAATTAAATACCTGTTATAAGTTAATGATATATTACTCTATTTGCTTAACAACTACAAATTAATATATTGTCGCAAATGATGGCTATAGCGGGGGAAAATGTGTTTCTAAGCATGGTCGTCAATTTAAAAATGTGCAGCAATGTGTTAAAAGACTTTATAAGTTAATGAAATAGAAAAATAAAACTAATTGACTAAAGTCTTGACTAGGAAAAAAACTAAGTACTAGAAATAGACAACAGATATTTCACTTTGTACTAAGATTCTCATCAATGCAGTGAGTCAAGGGTGGGGGAAAGCAACAGGTTAAGTTTTTTGAGGAGGCAAAATCAGATTTCTGAAATTGATGCAGTCTTATTTTTCTGAAATGATTCTTTCTTTTCAAGATGTATTTCATTCTTACAGAAGTTGTTTCCATTATTTTCTCTCTTTGTTAGGTATAAGTGTTCTAGCAGAGTGTCTAGACTGTCCTGAATTGAAAGCTACTGCAGATGATTTCATTCATCAGCATTTTACTGAAGTTTACAAAACTGATGAGTTTCTACAACTTGATGTTAAGCGAGTAACACACCTCCTCAACCAGGATACTCTGACTGTGAGAGCAGAGGATCAGGTGACTACATTACCTTTCTTTATTTTCCTCAGTAAAAATGTTGCTGACTTCTGACACCTCATGTTTGGGTACATGATAAGGAAAAAAGTCATGTTAGGAGAAAATATGTTTTGTAGACCAGATAGGGAATTCCAAAATCAGTATTATAGGAAGAGTAAGCCTTGGGTGCTTAGAAGGATTGAAAGTTTGGGAAAGAGGCCACTTGGTAGGATCAGAACTATTTTGTATCATGGTAGGCCAAGTAATACCTCCTCCAAAGGAGGGTTTCCGTATCCTAGTCCCTAGAACCTGTGAATGAATGTTGCATGATGGAAGGGACTTACAGGTGTGTTTTAGTTAAGGATCTTGAGATGAAGAGATAATCTGGTTGGGCATGGTATAATGTGAATGCGGAATGTAGAAGAATCAGTCTCAGTATGAGACAGACTACTTTGAAGGTGGAAGAAGGAATCACAAGGCCAGGAGTACTAGAAGCTGCAAAAGTCAAAGGAATGCATTCTCCTCTAGAACCTCCAGAGGAAGACAGCCTGATGACATTTTTCTTTAAGCACAGTGAGTCCCTAACTTCCAGAACCATCAGATTATCAGTCTGTGTAATTGTATATCACTAAATGTGATATTTTGTTACAGCAGCAATAGGAAGAAAGTACTTGTTTTTCTTTGCTATCCATCCCAACATATGGTAATCCCATTGTGTAGAGTAGAACTGTGCCAGTAGGCTTCCCAAGATTATTACCTTGCAGAAGCAGATCACAAGGTCTGTATCCCAAGGTACCTGGTTATTTGCAGACCACTAACTTTTCAACTATAGCCTAGCACTGTTTGCGCTATCAGAAATTACTGCCGCTACTATAAGACTTTATATGTAAATTACTCTTGTTATAAAGATAAAATATTTCTAAGCCAGGTCCATTTTGTCCAGTCTTCTTCATGACTCAAGAGTGTCACTTTGAAAGTTGATACATTGGAAATGAAAGTTTCTGCAAGGGCAGAAAGATAAAACTCCATTCACTAATCAAAATTAGTTGGCTTATGTGCCGTATGGAAAGAAAAAAATCCCAGTTTTATGTGGGAAAAAACCTAAACAACTCTCCTTGTGCCTGGTGGTCCAAGTAGCATAAATGGGGAAAAGTCATGTTGGTAGCAGGTGCCCTTGATAAAATACAATGAGATTGATACTTCACCATTGCAGTCTTCCTTCCAAAAAATTCTAGTCTTTATCTAATCATGAGAAAAATGCCAGACAAATCCAAGTTCAAGGATATGCTGCAAGCACTGTCAAGTTTACCAACAATAAGGAAAATCCAAGGCATTGTCACATTCTAAAGGATCCTGATAACAAAAATGTAATTTGGTCTCCTAGATGGACCTCTGTGATAAAACTTGTTTAGGTCAAAAATACTGTGAAAAAAGTCATAGTGGTGGCCGCAGTGGCAGCAGTAACCATCTTGTCAGTTTGACCCTAGTGACAGAACTACCCTAAAGGTTTCCCAGGCTATAATCTTTTAGGGAGCAGATTGCCATTTCATTCTCCTGCAGAGCCACTGAGTAAATCTGAACTACCAACCTGTCTTTTAGTGCTTTACCAATGCACCACCACTGGTACCTTGAAAGAAGTGTGGACTTTAATTAATTGTCAACATTATCTGATTAGTTGTAATATATTAATGTCTTAACAACTGGATGCAAGGTGTGCTAGTTTTTCTGCTATTTTTGCATCTTTATTGTTAGGTGCATTGAGTCAGTCCTGATTCGTAGCAACAGAACAAAACCATCCAAGGTCCTGTGCTGTCTTCACAATCCTTGTTATGATTGAATCCATCGTTGCAGCCACCATGTGGTTCCATTTTACTAAGGGTCCTATTCCAACCCTCTGCTTTTCCTAACATGATGTGCCTCTCCAGGGACTGATTGCTCCAGATAGTATGTTCAGTAAGTGAAATGAAGCCTCACCATCCTTGCTTCTAAGGAACATTCTTTACATCTTTCACAACAGATTTTGTTCCTTCTTCTAATAGTATATAGTATATTTAATATATTTTACTAAAACCATAGTTAAAGTTCACCAATTCTGTTTCCGTCTTTCTTATTCCCCATCCAGCTTTCATATTCATATGTTGCTGCGGTTAGGTGCCACCAAGGTGACTATGACTCATAGAGACCCTATGCACAACAAATCTGAATCTTTCCCTAGCCTGTGCCTTCTGCACAGAATCTGCCGTACTCAAGCCCATTGTCGTAGTCACTGTGATGGTCTGTATCCTGGAGGGTCTCCCTCTCTTTTATTGACCTTCCACCTTTCCCAGCCTGATGTCCTTTTCCAAGGATTGGCTCCCCCTGACAACATGCCCAAACTTTGTGAAATGACTTACTATGCATCTACAGAGCACTCTGGTTGCATTCCCTTTAAGACACATTTTCTTGGCGGTTCATGGGATGTTCAACTCAATGGCATCGATTCTTTGGTCTTCCTTATGCATTGTCTAACTTTCATAGATACATGAAGTAATTGAAAAGATGATAACTTGAACCACATACACCTCAGTCTTTAAACTGACATCCTTACTCATGAGCACTTTTTAAAAAAGGTTTAGACAGCAGATTTCCTTAATACTACATGTCTTTTTATTTATTGACTACTATTATCATGTTGTTTATGGATCCAAATAAAATTATGTTATTAACAACTCAGTCTTTTCTCCATCTATTATGATGTTGTTTATTGGTCCATTGGTGATAGAAAACACTCAGGCTTGGGATCAGGGACAACTTAGTCTTAAAAGTGACATTTTTGCTTTGTAATACTGTAAAGAGTTCTTTTGTGGCAGAGGGCCTTGACACAGTTACAGTGCTGTGATTTCTTGACTGTTTTTTCCATGAGTAATGACTGGAACCTTTGATCCATTTATCATAACGTTGCTTATTGATCGACTTAAAAAGATTTTTGTTTATATTAAGGTGTAAGCTATACTGTAGACTATAATATTTTCTCTTAACAAGTGCTTCAGATCTTCACTTTCAGTAAGCAAGGTGTGTCATCTGCGTACTGTAGGTTCTTAATGAATCTTCCTCCAATCCTGATGCTATATTCTTCTTTTTACAGCCCACATTCTCAGATTATTTGCTTAGCATACAAATTAAATTCACTTTAACACCCCCATGATACATCTTCAAGGATATGAACATGTACGGCTAAACACAATTAATAACAGTGCATCTAAATTCCAAAATCAATCTCCATAATAGTCTGTGTGTTTCCTACTGCCAAAGGGGCCCTTTAGAGTAGTGAGAGAAGATATTCACCCTGAAACCCACAGCGTCCCTTTTCAGCAGGAAGTAGCTAAGAGAATACGCCATCCCCTTTTCCTTATGAATCAGGGTGAAGTCTCTCTCAGGGAAGAGTGATAGGGAATGGCAAAGGACACACTGACAAAGAAGATTAATCAGAACTGACTTTGACAAGCACTGTGGCAATTGGACAATTAAAACAGACATTCGGATGGCGGGGGAAGAAGAACGAACTGGGGAGGAGGGTAGAGAGAATGGTGCAGCAATGAAGGAATGAAAACCCAAAATCCCTGTAAATGTTCATTAAAACTAATAAAATTTAATAATAAAAAGAAAAGGACCAAAAAAACCAACAAATTAAATTCACTTTCACTCACTGCCTGCAAGTTGATTTCGATTCTGATTCTGAGTGACCCCTGCTTCTGATTTCCAAGGATGTAGATGTTAATGGAAGAAGACAGTCCATTTTTCTCCCCTGAAGAGTGTTTGGTGCATTTGAACCATAAGACTGTGGGCTACACCTCTAGACTAATAACTAGATAATGCTTTGACATATGCTTTTCCTAGTTTTAAACCACACAATATCCCTTTGTTCATTTTGAATGAAAGGCTTATGTACAGATTCTGCATGAACACAATTTTGAGTATGCTAGAATTTTCATTCCTCACAGTGTTATCCATCCTTTGTATGTTCCATGAAGTCAGACGCCTTTATGTATTCAAAAAAGCACAGCTAAACATCTTTCTGTTATTCTTTGTTTTCGGCCAAGATCCATCCGATGTCAGCAGTGTTTCATTCTGAACCTAACTTGAATTTTTGGCAGTTTCTTGTCAAGGCTTGCCATAAATGCTGTTTTCATTATAATCTGTAAAATCACTTGAGTGCAATATTAATAATGATGTCTCATAATTTCCACATTTTTTTTCACATTTCTTTGGAATGAACACAGTTGGTTGACAAAGCAGCTGTCTTCCAAACTTCTTGGAACTGTAGTGACTACTTTCAATGTTGCATCTATTTGTTGAACCATTTCAATTGGTATACCATCAATTCTTTGTATATGTAGTTCATTGTAGGGGGTTTATTCTGTTTCTTTTTCTGGGATTATTTTTGTTGGTTTTGTCTTTGGTTTTTGCCAGTGCCTTCAGTGTACCTAGAACTTCTTCCATCTATTATATCTGGATGGATAGATAGATAGATAGATAGATAGATAGATAGATAGATAGATAGATAGATAGATAGATGATAGATAGATAGATATAGATTATATATATCTCCAAAATTCTGTTTCTTGAGATAAAAAAATTTACGTTCATCTTGATTCAGTGTGTTTTTCTTAATGCTGCTTCCGTCTGAAGGAGCATCCTTCCATAAGCCTTGCTTTTCCTCCTGTGGGCTGACAGAACAGTGGAGCAGCCAACACACAAAGCTATTGTTTGTGCATGGCTGAAGACCGTGATGATTTTATAACATCCTGGGCATTTCACATCCATGAAATAGGAATTTGGGCTCTGCATCAGGCACTTTTTCTTGTGTTTCCTCTTCTCTTCTGGAGACGAGGCATGTTCTTCTTTTCTGTAAGAGGCATATTGGCATGCGGAGGTCACCGCTGGAAAGCTGTTCTCTCTCTCTTTTTTTTTTTTAATTGTGATTTTTAACAACAGTTTATAGAGAACTTGGATTTCCATTCATTCATTGTTGCACATTTTCCTCCCTACCCATCCTCCCAGTTCACTTTTCTCTTTGAAAAAAAATTATTTCATTGTTGTATAGTTTCCTCCCCCGACCCCAGTGCACTTGACTGTGCAGCTCTTATTCTGGACTGTTGTCATGCAAGTCATGTCTAATCATATTTCCCTTATAAACAGTTGTCTCTCTCATCTGTTTCAATACAGTATGTAATTTATCCTATCTTTCTCAGTCTCCCCCTACCCCAATTTAAGTCCCGTTTGACAGCAGTGGCACCATGTAGTATTTGTCCTTTTGTGACTGAGGTATTTCACTCAGCATAATGTCCTCTAGGGTCACCCATTTTGTATACTATTTTATGAGTTCCTTGTTTTTCAATGCAGCATAGTATTCCATTGTGTGAATATACTACAGCTTCTCTATCTATTCATTTGTTGATAGGTACTTGGGTTGTTTCCAACTCCTTGCTATTGTGAACAAAGGTGAGATAAACATGGATGTACATATATCTGCTTGAGTGGCGGTTATGGTTTCTTTGGGGTATAGTCCCAGTAGTGGGATTTCTGGGTCAAATGGTGTTTCTATTTGCAACTTTTTGAGAGAGTGCCATACATCCTTTCATAGTGGTTGCACCATTTTACACTCCCACCAACAGTGAATAAGAGTTCCAGTTTCTCCACAACCTCACCAGCATTTGTTGTGTACTGTTCTGTTAAATTTTGCTGTTCTTACTGGAGTGAGATGATATCTCATAGTTGTTTCAAATGTATTCTTGGGATGGCTTTTAAATTAGATGGGATGTATGTAAGACCATACACTTAATTTTCTTCATTCTCAACTTGGACTTGAATATCAGCAATTGATAATCAGTTCCACAATTAGCCCCTGGCCTTTTTGTCACTGATACTGATCTCATTGCCTTTTTTCCCCTATAAAATCAGTTCGATTCTTGAGTATTAGTCCGTGTGTGTGTGTTTGGGTGCCAGCAAATCAGCTGTGGTTCGTGGTGATTCTTGGAATAACACATCTGAAACTTGCCCTATCCTTCACCGTCCTCCAGTCTCTACCATGCCCAGGCCCATTATGGCAGTCCGTTTTGTTGAGGATCTTCCTCTCCCTTGCTGACCCCTCTACCTTCCCCAGCACAATGTCCTTTTTCAAGGGCTGATGCCTTCAGATAACATGCCAGGTATGTGAGACTTAAGTTTCACCGTGTTCTAAGAGCACCTCACCCTAGTTGTACATCCTCTAAAATGAACTTTTTGTCCTTTCAGCAGTCCGTGGTACTATGCTATCAAAAAGCAAGGGTATCAGGGGTTTTTTCTGGCTTACTTATTTTCCATCCACATGCACAGTCGCCATTTTGTTGTTTTTAAAAGATGCATACAGTGAATAACTCATTGGTCATAATTATCACCAAGGTCCTGTTTTCCTTGTTTCCAGCTTTTGCACTCCAATCTCAAATGAGTATCAGTGCATATTGATTGCATATTTGATCCATTTCAGACTGTAGTAGTTGGTAACAATCTTTCATTTCTTCATCTTTGCTATTAGTGGTTGGTACATAAATTTGAATAGTTGGATTAGTCTTTCTTGACTTGTTCCTTCTGTCTTGGTGGCTTCCACAAAGCCCAGTGGGTCATCAGTAACTATTGGAGTTACCCTCGAAAATTCAGCCACGAGTTAGCTCTTTTGCAGCTGTGAATAGATTCCGTGTATTTAGGGATGAAAGCAAGTATTTGAAGAAATTTCAAGTAAGTGGTTCTTTATTAGATTCTCTCCCTTCAGTATGTGTATAAACAGAAGTAATTGGAAATGTTGCTGCCCTCGGTGGATTATACTGTGCTGTTTTTTCCCTTAGGTTTATGATGCTGCAGTCAGGTGGTTGAAATATGATGAACCTAATCGCCAGCCGTTTATGGTTGATATTCTTGCTAAAGTCCGATTTCCTCTTATATCAAAGAATTTTTTAAGTAAAACAGTACAAGCTGAACCACTTATTCAAGACAATCCTGAATGCCTTAAGATGGTAATAAGTAAGTCAATTTAATATTCTTTTATAAGCTTGGTCATGTAGCCAATGTCTCATGAACTTAAAACCATTTAAAATGTGTCATACTTGGCAGCTAAAAAGAAATTCAGGCTTTGCTCTTATTAGGTACTTTGCTTTTTGGGCCTTAGCTGTGTATTTTTAAGGACCTTAACCTAAGCACTCCCTATTTAATAAGGATGTATGTGAAAGAAGGTTTAAATCACTTATGCAAGCAACTCGATGGCACATAACAACAACAACATGCTTTCTCTACTTTTATGTGTAATGATTGTCATTGTACTATGATTATATTTTCTTTGTTCATCAGTAATTTTCAATTCTTGTGGATTGTTTGTTTTTTTTTCTTTCTTTCTTTTTTGGTAGCTTCATTGTTTTCCTTTCCTTGGTTTTTCTTGACTTGGCAAACTAAATCCCAAAGCTCAACTCTTCTGTGAAATACTACTTTGTATAATTACCCATACAATTAAGTGATTTGTTGCTTTATCCTTGGAAAATGGAGCTTTCCCCTGCTTATGTAAGTGTGGATCATTTGCTCTTTTGGCCTGAAACATAGGTGCTGTGCTGGGATTTCCCTTTCATCATCCTGAGACAGCCTGTCATCTGTCTCTTAGACTTGATATATTGTCTTCCTGGATGGAGGCCTTTTCTTTCCTTAATTTATCCTATTTGGTGAAACAGATACTCTAAAACTTTCTGAGAGAGAGCATATAATTAGTAAATATTTGGAGATTTGACAAATGTCATATCTTACTGTAAAACAATGAAAGAGTTAAAGTATTGAATCCTTTTCCGTTAGAATCTTAAACATATTTGTGGCTCCATTTTCTTCATGCTTTCAGTGTTGCTTATGAAAAGTCTGATACTAAGCTTTTCCATTTCTTTTTATGTGGCTTTTTTTTAAAGAAGAAAATTCTCTCTGGAAGATTTTAAGTTCCAAATAATGTACAAGTGTGCTTTTTTTTTTTTTTTTTCTTTAAATCATCATGCAGTACATTTCCCTGTACCTTCACAGTCGGAATTTTCTGATTTATCTGTTATTTGTAGTGGGATTTTGCAACTCTGGCACGCCTAGATTGAATTTCTAGTGTTTCCTTGTCATTTCCTAGTAAATTACTAAACCCAAGCCTTTCCTCCCCTTTATGTTTCTGGCTTTTATTGCATGTTTGGAAAGGTCTTCTCTATTATAAGATGATTTTCAGTCACCTAAATGTTCCTCCTGTGCATTCATTAATTTTTTTCCCTTTAAACTTCATATCTATCTTTATTTTTATGTTAAATTAAAATCTGACTTTTCCTATAAATGTCTAGCAAGATAGACAAATACCACTAGTCCTCCATTAATCTGAAACTTTATAAGCTAAATTTCATATACACACAGAGTTTCTTTGCTATTTCAGTATAGTTTCATATTTTTATGTTTCATTTATGTTGTAATATGCCTCTGGAGGGTTTGTAATTTTTTTTCTTAAGACATTTTACATTTCATAATTCTATTTTAGATATATTTTATTATTACTGTGAATTGTAACTCTTTATTAGTAATCACTGATCTTTCAGTGTTTTAGTTGATTTCTCTTTCTCAAGGGATATAATACTGTTTGCAAATAATGATAATTTTTCCCTGTTCCCTCATATATATATATATAGAGAGAGAGAGAGTTATACATTTTTATTATTGTTGTATTGCCCAATTATATGGAATACCTTTTCTGGACAGTGTTCAATGGAATAATTCTTGTGTATTGCAGCTGACTCATAGCTGACCCTCCAGCAGGTTTTCAGAGACAGTAAATCACAAGGGAGGATATTACCCACCTTACCATAGAGTGGCTGGTGGATTCAAACCACTTAACCTTTGGGATTGCAGCACAGCTTCTTACCACTGTGCCACTAGAGATCAAATCAAAAGCTGTTTGACTTCATAGTTAAATGTTGAGCTGCTAAACAAAGGTTGGCAGTCAACCAACCAGCTGCTCTGCAGGAGAAAGAGAAAGTCATCTGCTCCTGTTAAGATTTACAAACTTGGAAATCAATGGAGAGCTGTCATGGGTCAGAATTAACTAGTCTGTTTGTGGTGGGGGTGTTTGGGGTTTTGTTTTTTTTAATTTATTTTTTTTATTTTATTATTTTTGTGTGAGTGTACCGTCAAATCAGATCTGGCTGGTACAGGAGGAGATTGTCCCTCCTTCCCCAGCAGAGCATCTGGTGGATTTGAACCGTGCACCTCTGGGATTGTAGTTGCAGCTCCTTGCCACTAGGCCACCAGAGCTCCCCAGTTTTTGGTTTTTTTAAATACACCAGAAATAAGTTTATTTAAAGTCTAGGAATACCATGACACTTTCTCAGTCATACCCACCTACCTACCTCACACAACGTACAACTTTAAACTAACAGCCTGGTCTTCTTCTAAAAGTGAAAAATAAAAGGGTATTTCTATTAAAGCAATGTAAAAGCCAAGGCTGCTATTAAATATGTTGTGTAGAGTGGGTAGGTTGGATACATATTTAAAAAAACAACAACCCCCCAGAAAAAAATAACCCACCCACAAACAGACCCATGCTGTCTAGTTAATTCTGACCCTTGACAGCTCTCCATTGTTTCCAAGGTTGTATATCTTAAGAGAAGATTACCAGAGTCCAAAAGAAAGGCTGCATAGTGGAGTGGACTTGGGGGGAGGGGTTGTATAACAATGAAAGAATTTTACTTTTCAAAGAGAAGAAACTGGGGAGAGGTTGGGCAGGGAGAAAAGTGCAACCATGAATGAATGGAAATCCAAAGTCTCTGCAAACTTTCATTAAAATAAATTTTTAAAAATTGTTACTATTTCCTAAGAGTTTGAAGATTGGGAAATGTTGCTTTAGTGTTTTGGTTCTTAACAGGCTCACAATTTTAATTTATTATCAGACTATTTCTATCAGATGACAAACCATGGCATCTCAGCAGATCCCATGCAGGGAGTTGCTATAGTGTTGTTTTTAATTTAGTAACAATACTTAAATCACACAAAAAGGTATAAAAAGTAGAACTGCAAATTCTTATAAACCTACTTAACACCTTAAGAAATTAAGATTGAAGAATCAGAAATACTCCATCTTATGACTTATTCTCTATTTGAAAAGAAGAAAAAAACCACACATTTCTTTACATTTTGATGCCACCTATAAATAATACATGGTATTAGCTTATATCTTCTTAAAAGTCTATAAATGAAGGTATCATATTATATCATAATATAGGCATACATCTGCATTTGCTTTAAAAATGCTTTCTAATTTCCATATGCTTTCTCTTTTGACCAATGAATGAAACAGATTTTTAAGTTAATCTTTTATTATGAATTTCTAACTTCATTACCTTGTCGTCAGATACTAATTCTTTGAGACTTGCCAATTATTATACAATTGTTTTATTTTAATTTTTTTAATTACTTTACTGATATTTTGGAGACCACTTTATGTAGAGCTTACTAATGAGATAATTTGACACAGTGACTATAACAATGGGCTTAAGTACAGCAGAGATTGAGTAGGTGGCACAGATCAGAGAAAATAGAGTTACTGTGAGCAGACACAGTACCACTTAAAACAGCTCTATTCTATTAAACTCCCCCACTATGCTAGATTCCTCTGTTTTTTTCTTTAAGAATTTGTGTATAAGTTTACCAGTGTTAATCTTCATGGTGAATTGAACCTCCTGTGATTGTGTTGTGCTTTTTTTATATTGTCAGCTATGAATATAACTAAACAGTGGGCAATTTTTTCCTGGTTAGAAGAGTATTGAATATACCATGGACTGCCAAGAAAACAAACATGTTCATCCTGGAGAGGGTTAAACCAGGCTGCTCCTTGGAGGCAAGGATTCTGGGGCTTCGTCTGACATACTTTGGACATGTTGTAAGGAGGGACAAGTCCTTAGAGAGGGACATCATGCTTGGGAGGGTGGAGGGACGGCATAGGAGGGGAAGACCCTCTATGAGGTGGATTGATTCAGTGACTGGGGTAATCGGGATGGGTGTGTCAGAGGCAGTGCGATTGGCACAGGGCAGAGCAGGCTTTAGGGCTGTTGTACATAGGGTTGCTATGAGTCACAAGCGACTCGACGGCACATAACAACAGTGCTCACCTTGTTTGTTTCTCTTTATCTGTGTCTTTCGTGTCTCTTTAAAGCATATAACTCCATTTTTTTATCTGTTCTGACCATTTTTTTTTTCACTTGTAAGTTATAGACAGTTTAAATATTCTAAATGCTGTTATGTTAGCAGTTGTTTCTAGCTTCAAATTTTGTGCTCCTTTGTTTTCTTGCCTTTTTTTTAAATAGTGATTCTTGCCTCCGTTGAGTGGAGATATTTTTTCATTCAGTTTTTCCTTTACTGCTATTTGAGTATTTCACTTGTCAGTCTTTTTAATGGTTATCCTTTATATTTCATTACATGTATTTTAGATATTAATATCATTATCCTCCTTCTGAATAAAAGAATTTTTTAACTATTATTCATAGTTTTAATACCTTACTTGTCTTCATTTTAGTTCTATTTTTATTTTAACTTTCTAAATAGCATATTGTAATTTTTAATATAGTAGAGATTGAGATTGTTAACAGAAAGCTTGGCTCCACAGTCAACATTCTTTGCACCAGCAGCCAGGAAATTAAATTATTGCAATGGGAAAGTCTGCTGTTAAGGACCTCTCCAAAGTACTGAGGAGCAGTGCTGTCACCCTGGAGACTAAGGTGTGCCTGATTCAGGCTATGGTCCTTGCACTCACTTGCTGTACGACAGAGCTGGACAGTGACTAGGGAGAATAGAAGGAGAATTGATGCCTTTGAGCTGTGGTGCTGAAGAAGATTATTGAATGGACTGCTAAGAAAACAGGTTAATCCTAGAGAGGGTTAAACCAGGCTGCTCCTTGGAGGCAAAGATTCTGAGGCTTTGTCTGACACACTTTGGACATGTTGTAAGGAGGGACCAGTCCTTAGAGAAGGACA